AATGTTAATGGCGGAAAATTGTACCGAATCAATCTGAAGTGAAATATTTTTTTGCCTCAAACCTGATTTTTAAAAGATTTATTGAGATTTTTACTCTCAAATAAATTGGGAAAATTCACATCAACGATCTATTCAACTCAATTTTTTAAACAAGAAATTTATAAGCCAGAATATTACAAAATTACAGATTTTCATTTTCAATGAAATTGGTTATAATCTTTATTTAACGATAAATCAAAGATTCTTTGTTGTGCCAACCATTATTTCCATCTCTTTATCCTGCCAATATGAATTTTTATTCACGAGCTAACTGAAAATAAAATATCACTGGCCATTCATCAAAGTTAATTGTTGTGCGCCTCTCTATTTTATTACGCATATTGACGACTCAACCGCATAGAGGCTTTTATCGTCGGATTGTATGTCGCTTTTACCGATTTGAGCAGTTTTTCATTAATTTTTTCCATAATAAAGAAAGAGACGACGAATCACTCGAACGAATATTTATGAGCATGATAATGCGTAGCAAATTTTCACCGTCATAGATATGCATGTACGTGAGAGAGGATAAACAAGTGAACGTGCGAGGACTTATTGGGTATGCATGTCTCGATGTCTTGTTCTTTTCGTATGCGGGCACTGTGCCAACCGTTTCCGTTAATGTAGAGAATTAATCCGCCGCGCACCAATAAAAAGACGCGGGGAATTTTTTTGTTATTATTCATCCGTCGAGTCCACTCTAATTCACAAATAATTGAAAAATTCACACACAGATTCACGGCCGAGATTTGCACATTTTGCTTCCGACAAAAATTTCTTCCACCCTATTAGTGAAGACGAGTGGGATGTTTCGTGCTTAATTTACACTAATAGCTTTGTCAGCGAGCGACCGATTGATAAACAGTTAAAACTAAACTGCTGACAAAATACTAAAAAAATCAATCCACCTCTTTTCTATTAGCTAAAAACGCCCATGAATAAATAAATAAATTTAATTAGATCGGAAAATTGAATCTTCGCTAATCCGCGTCACTCTCCAAAAATGGCATTAGATCTCTGATTCTGATCGCAAATTAGTGCCGACAGAAAGTGGAAATTCACGGTCGTAATTTATTCGCTGGCTGAAGGGAACACCGGCTTTGCAAGGAGAGAATTAATTCTCATATCCCGGCGGCCGAGTGAATATTTGAATACGATCAAGATACGGATCGACTTGTGTTCAGCGCTAAAAAAAGCCGATCCGAGCTGTGAGATTTTTCCACTCCGAATCTTTTTGTATTTATATTTATTCTCGTTAAGGTGAATGAAGACCTCTGTCTCTCTTCCTTGCGTCCAAAAACACAGAGAAAACTTAAGCGGTGACAATTTCACACCAGCTATTTTTTCCTTGCTCTTAAGTTTTTTTATATGTATGTATGTTGGAGGGACACACGCGCCGCTTTAAACAGGTCTTGCAATAAATTTGGGTAAATTGTGATGGTAATGAGAGGATTTAAGGGATTTAACACTGTCTTGCCTCTTTTTATTTGTAGGCAAAGTGAGGACCTCAAATTACTCAGCTTGGTAGCCGAATTAGCATAACTCTGGGCGCACCCGTTTTGCGTGGCGAAGGAATAATTTCATTTGAGACTTGGGACCCGACATAAAATACGCCTAGATTGAATTTTGCAAACGCAACTGGAATGCGAAAACGAAAATTCACCGCAAATTTGTTACTGTTTGAGATTGAGGAGAAGGAAATAATCCAGTGATAATTTCTTCTTGAAAAATGTATAATATGAATTATAATTATTTGTGTAGGTGCTTTGCGTAGATAGGTTGTTCATTTCGGTTGAGAAAAATGCGGAAAAGACGCTCGCGAATATTATCAGCACTCAATTAAAATGTTTATAAATATTCGGACGCTCAAGTTATCAATGGCCATAATATAATGATAATTGACGCATGAGAATATATTTGCATAAAATAGGATCACCACATACATAATGGTGTTCAACTTATTTTTTGAACTGTACGTCAGTTTTATTTTTATTATTATTCCTTCTTTTTATTGTATTATTGCAAGAACACAAAACTCACTCATTTGAAAATGGGTCAAAGGAAAGATTTGAATATTAGTTTATAAATTTGTTTAATATTCATTAAAGTTTCCAAATAAATTTATGCACGAACACAAAATGTTTCTGCAATCTTACAAGACAACAATACTGTGGCTTAGCACAAATCGGAACAGGCGTTGTTTATACAAATCGAGACATACAAAATAAATGATTTGCTATTGTTAGCACCGGAACAAATAAATAATTTCCACGTAAAAAAAAATATAAAAATATAAATATATAAAATATTTAAAAACTATCTTTATAAAGTGTTGATTCGCTGAGTTCGCGTAATTTGTAAATTGTAAAGCACTATTTAAATCGTGAGCAGGCAGTGGTTATTTGCTCTTGTGTCTTGTGGCATTCCACTGGTGTCCTGAGCTCGAGAGCCGCTGCGACCAAACACAGTCGTAGAAATGATGCTTCCTCTAGCAATCGTGTGTTTTGGGAATTCAACTCTCGCCCCGCACAGTTAGATTCATTAAATTTTCGCAGCAGCGGCTCTGCGTCGCGGCCGCTGCCAAAAATGAAGTGTTTGTGTGTTTGTCATTGCGTGGCTTCCACGGGCCATAACGCCGAGCCCGCTGAATGATGAACATATGCAAATGTCTCGCCGGCAACTTGTCACACTAAATTTCACGCCGTATTAGCTGAAATCACCATCAGCACCTCCACTGCGACTAATCTCGGAGAGAGCGAATCCCAAAACCGCTCACAGGGAGTGCAGATTTGAGTGAGGCGCCGCTTTTTATCTTGAGTATCAAAGCTCGCGCAGTGGGAATTCGCACTTTTGTGATCAGCGAGGAATGATATATTGTATACTTGCGTGAATCTCAATGCGAAGGAATGCGTAGAGCAGACTAACAAAAATAACAGTCTTGTGTTCTTTTAATTAATTCGTTTAAAATAATTTACCACTAATTAATTTAGTTTATTTGTCTACATTGATGCATTAATATGTATGTACAATATTTTATTTAACAAAGCAAAGGGAAATACTACTAGCAATTGTTTTGCTTTAACAGTTGAAATATTTTTATGAGTACTTAAAAATTGGTTTACTTTAAATTTCATTTGGGATTTTTTGCATTTTGTTTTGAACATTTTTTAAATCAATATTTTTTATTTATTGACTAACTTTTGAACGACTATGAATGGAAAAATAAAATAGACTTATAAATAAATGCATTAAATAAATTGCATTTTTTACACTGGCAGAATAATTTAAGCGATGCCCTTTTTACTTTAAATTGACTTGAAAATGAGTTAAATGTTGGAGCAAAAAGTAATTCTTTACAATTCTATCCAGCTGGGACTAGTACAGCGCCGTCCTCTCCCACCATGGGGCAGCCAATTTTCCACTCGAACACCACAACCGCCCCGTCACTCACATGCCAGAGAAATTCTCTTGCAACTTAAAATGCTAATTTCCAATTATTAGCGCTTTAAATTTATATTAACGAGCAGCCTATCACCTCCCTACGACGAAATCAGAGAAAAAAACTTGTCCTAAAGCCGCACTACTACTATAATTTATCAACTATAACCACAAAAGGAGCGAGCGACTCGCTGCTCTCTTTGGAATAAATTACAGTTTAATTTGCCCAGTGCGTCCCATTTTTCACACACGCCCGAGATGCTTATTTATTTGAGATGATCGCCTGATCAATCGAAGCCGATGTAATATTGATTAGGTAGTCATGCACAGAGGCTGTGTTGAATACATGTTGGTTATTGGTAATAATTTCTCGGCGGCTTATCGAAACATGTAATTTTCACTTTGAAATAGATTGGTTGATGAATATTTTTATGTAGAAGACAAAGCTCTGAAAATATCCGAAAGCTTCACACCAGCCTTCCCTTCAAGCCCCAAGGGCCTCTGCGCGTCTCGAAAATTTCTCGTCTTTGCTGCTTTATTTCTCTCGATTGTCGGCGCCGCGGCGCGTGGAGCGAAAACAGAGAGAAAATTTTAGACTCGAGGGTGCACACCAGTATGATAATTAGATTTAATGGTCGCCTAAATAAATCCCTAATGATCTCCTAATGTAGAGGAGGATTTTTATCGCAGCCATCGTTTGGCCGTGATCGTGATAGATGCGTTGAGTGATCTTTTCATAATTCATTAAAAAAAAAGTTATGGTCCATAAGCGTCGAGAGTGCCCCTAGTCAACTAATCTGAGCAATTTTCGGTTTCTGATTGAGGTTTTAAATATTCATCTCGTGTCCCCTGCGGGACATATACGTCCATTAACAGCTCCAAAATACTAGAATAATAACGAGCTTGATTGGTATTTGAAACTGGCAAACAGCAAAATTTTGTTTGCCGAACTCTCTTGTTTGCTGCTTAATAATGCATGATTTTATCGCTTTTGACAAGTTAACCTTATTGCAAATTCATATCGTGGGAATAGTTCAGTGTTCAGTAACATTTAATTAGTATCACTGCGGCGGATGGGATCTTTTTGATCTCAAAAGTTTCAACATAATTACTAATGTAATAATAATAATTAAGCAGTTGAACAATGACAAAGTACAAACTTATTGTTTTTCTATAAAAACAATCTCTGCAACAAGGAAAAGCCCAATATCTTCGTATGGGATCATTTCCTCAAGTGTCAACTTCTTCAAACAAATACAAACAATGCAGTACAATTATCATTTTCCTGTATTTGCTCCTGCTGTTTTGTGTCTCGATCTAGATAGTGGAAAGTGGAATCTGTAATTCAAGCGTTTCCTGACGAACAAGATGAACATTAATATTTTCTTATTTAAAGAGTTCCAATTTATATTTTTATTCTTTATAAAATTCTCAAATATTTTTGGCACCACAATTTTATAAGAAAAATTAATTCAGGACATTGATTGACCACTCGATGACAATTTTTCATTTCTCTGTTCCAGATGAACTACCTGATGGACCTTACAAGCTGACTGTAAGTACAAACACGCACACGGCTGCCATTTGATATTGAGTGGAAATTTGATATTAAATTGCAAAGAGAAATAAAAGCATTGGGCAAAAAATATGGTAGAGTAGGTGGATATTGAAAGACCAAATTTCTTCATCGCCAACATTCGGTTAACGACTTCTTCTAAATTTAATTATCTGAGATAATAAAACAACAAATAAAAGAAGCCACTGCTTTTTGACACGAAAAGGAGAAATTCCTCAGTTTTATTAAGAAACAAATATAAACTAACCTTTTGAGGAGGATACATTGTAGATTGAGATCTCTCTCCTAGTCCAGCCTAGTCTGATTGGCTAAGAATTTCTCCGTAAAATTGATGCAAATACAGTTGCTTATCACAATGGCTCCATCTCGAGTGACGCCACATCGGCTCCTTGTATTGGGGGAAAAAATGGGCCAGCATTCCTTATTTGCAGAAAACAAAAATCCAGCCATTTTTATGAAGCTCCTATTTCAGCCCAGGGCTAATTGTGAGACAGAGAAAAGGCTGTGTGCCAAATTTGTTACCGTAATGAGAAGTTTCGCTATTAATAATTCAGAAAAAGAGTGATGCCGGCCAATAGACCACCCTGATTTGTATACCAAACATGCAGTGCTGACCCAGACCGGCGCCAGTGATTTTAATAACTTGCGGTCGGCCCCGTCCGCAAATCATTATCTTTTTTTCTCTTTTATGTCCGAGACCAGCAATAACAAAAGCCCCCTGCAAGTACGCATGCACGGTAAAATCGCGATAAATCATTTTTGCCTTACTAAACGCTGACGTGAGTATTTTTCGCAAAGAATTATCAACTCGTAAGTGTAAATTTTTAAGTAAGAGATCACTTTTCATACTATTAGGCGGGTTCTGCTTTGCGTCTTGAGTTAATTTATTCGAAGTTCAACGAGATTTATGAGTTAGTGCGCTGCCCTGTTGCTAAAAGCGCGTTACAATAATAAATAATCATCATGCGTTATTTGAATTTATTTTTGCAGGCTACCGCCGACCAGTACGTAACCATCACGGAGAGACACTTTCCACCAGAGGGTCCGGACCCGTCAAGAGACGAATACGCAATTTTGGGACCACTCGAGGTGGATGACTCTGGACACTTCAGCCTCAGGAGCAAACCAAATGCAATTGTAAGCCAACACACAAAGAAATATAGATTTAAAAAAAATCGAACATAAATTTCTTGCAATTTTTCATAAAATCCATCTCGACTATTAGCTTTCAATAAAGTTTAACTTTGAAATTTAGAAGGGTAAATGATATATTCTAAAGAAAGAAATTTTGAATTTAAGGAAGAACTTCTTCTAAAAAATGACAGTAACCATGACAGTAAATTTTTCTAATTTTTGTGGCCAATAATAACAAAAAATTGCTACGTACAAACTTGATTTTTACTTCATCAAAATAAATCAAAAATATTTTTAAAGTATACTAAGATTGATTCTTTCCATTTAAAATCATTTCATCAAAATTTCAAAAAAATAATATTGCAAAGTTGGTTTCTAAGTTTGCATTACCAAGCCTCCTTTTTTTATTTCTGGATATAAAAATTTACTTGAGTAACGAGGGAGTTGTTCCTTTCTTTATATTTTAAATTAAGCCTACAATTTATTGGATTTTGATAGATATACTACAACATTAATTTTCATATTTTCTGAACAAGTCTAGCTTACAACGACTTATTCTAGTATTGTAATAATTTGTCGTGAACAAGAATTATAAAGGTTTCAGAATTCAGCCAAGAAGAAATCCGTCAGAAGGACCTTGTGTACGTCCCGCCAGCCGCGCATCTGGTGCCCGAAAAAAGGACCGTCACTTTTTCCCTGATGAAAACATCCCCAGCGCTCAACCAGTCGTATCCCCTGCAGTTTTCAATCGTCCTGCTGCCGCTCGACCAGCACCTTGACCATCCAGGGCCGCGGTTCAAGATCACCAATCCCACAATCACCGCTTCAGTGGTGAGTCTCAATCCGAATACGCCGAGGTGGTTTTATCTCAAATTAATTAGGCTGGGGATTATTTGGCGGTATGTGGCTCCGTGCCAAACATGCCGCGGCTTATCCCGCGGGAATTTCATTTTGAATGCTTTCGTGACAAAAACGCCGTCGTGGGATTCGCGCCAAAGAAGAAAAAGTGGCTGCTAACTTGTCGCGCATTTGTTCAAAAAGCTGACGCTAATTTAATTTACAGACAGGAGAAACTTGCGGTTGAGACTTTTTATTGTGTTCGTTTTACTTGTTTAGCTCTTCATCTTCAAACGTTACTAAAACGATGCTTGGCCTTGAACCTTTGCAATTTTTTACAATGTTATTATATAAAACACAATAAACATAATTTTTACATTGTTTAGAAAAAAAAACATTTGCTTAAAACGTATTGTAAATTTTTGATAAGTGTAGTATATGGGAACATTGATTTATTTTACTTTGAAGTTGAAATATCTAAAGACAAGCGCCTTCCTGTCGAAATTTAATTGCACTTCAACTAATTTTAAGATGGTATTTTCTAACTGACAATGTGTAAGAAAACTAATCTGATTTCCAAAATTTTAAAAGTAAATCAAATTTTTCTCTAAACGTCTAAATGTGGTTAATTTCTAATTTCAGAGATTAATTTCACTAATAAGAAGAAAAATATAAGCAAAAAGCAATACCCTGAATGTTTCAGAATTCAACGTTAAATTTCTCATTGATAAACTTAAGTCTAAAACTCAAGCTGGACGAACGCAAAACGACACAAAAAATCTTTAATGTTTGTAAACTTTTTTTGCCACCAAAATTTCCATTCATCCAGATTTTTTACTTATCCTTCAATCGCAAATTTTGTTTAACTTAAGTTTAAGAGCCGTACTCCTGAGAATTTGCGTTTTAAAGAAATTCCCATTGTAGAGTGACCAGCGCAGCACGTGCGGTTTTTGGGGTGTGTGCTTTGAACGTGCTTTTCTCAAAATTAATTGGGCCTAACACTTTTCAAAGATAAGTCCACTTTTTTAGACTGGTTTACCAAAGGATGAGTTACATCAAAAGAAGCTGTCCAACTTTAAGTAAATTTCCCTTGGCGGCTAGATTTAGGCCTCCTGCCTTGCCTCCCAGCTTGGAAAATTTTGTGTTGATTCAGTGGGCTGCAAAAAGCAGGGGGTTGATGTGCCTTTGGCTTAATATTCAGATTTACGATCGTGCATACGCAAGGGAAATATCGATAATTTAACGCTCTGATTGCTATGCATGGTGTGTGTGTGTGTTTTTGCAGGACACGCCGACCATTAATATATCACGCAAGTACTTCGAGGTTGAGGGATTCGGCGATGCCCACATTCAATTTATGGTTATCGAGGAGCCGGCGCAAGGTTTCCTGACCCTTCTACACCCAGACGGCTCCGCCGCGCCCCTTACCGGAGGTTTGTTCCCATTTTTTTTCTGGTGATACTAACATGACTTTTTGCGCATGCAAGACTAATCTGCCATCGGCTCTTCTTTGAAAATGAGAAAATCGTTAGAAAAGTGATTAACTATTATTTTAAAACATGCCAAACTAATTATTTTTGCTAAAAAAAAAAAAATTTTATATATTAAATTTTGATTATTTTGTTTGATCGTAGAAGTTGAAGAGATGATTATAGAAGTAAGGAAAACGGGCTTTACTTATTTATTTTCCATTCAAATGCATTGAAATTACGCGACATCTTACATTCAAATCAATACTCAATCACTTGTTATTAATGAAATAAATATTTTGATATTTTTTGTTATTTCATGATTTGTTGTAAAAGCAAATTTGAGATGTATGCAATAAATTTTTATCTAGTCACATTTAAAGAAATCTAAAAATCCATGTAAGTGGAGGGAAGGGATGGTGTTGAATGAAGGCAATAAAATGGCTTAGCAAAAAACTTGCGAAAGCACAGGCACTTTCATTTGAAGATGAGTGCACCGGCCGCATTGAAAAAATTAGCAAAAAACAATCAAATAAACCAGTTTTGGTCACGGCCTGTGACCCTATTTCATGGGAAAAAAATACAAAAAAGAAGCAAAATTGCAATAACTACTTTTTAACATTTAAAATCTTTTGCTAAAAGTAGTTTTCAATTTTGCTAGGTCATGAAATAGGGTCACTGACCGTGACCAAAACTGGTAGAGCCGTTTTATTTTTAATAGAAAAACAAGGACAAGGCAGGTTTATCCACTTTCAGGATAATTGTGTTTGTATTTAAAAAAAATTAACCACTCCATAAAAAAATGATTAATTATTTTATTTTTTTAAATGCGTAAAAATTCAAATTTATTGCTTTCAAGATTATTTTGGTTTTGTGTATTTTAAGTATTTGATTTTAAATTTTATATGTTTGTCAACACAAATTAATTTTTTATGTTATTATTAGATCATTACACTTGATAAAATTAAGACGATTGGTATTTAGGCAACAGGTAACTCACCAAAGTTTGCCACGTTGCATAACTTTACCAATTTTGTTTGTTTGAAGAAGTTGACACTCGAGGAGATGATCATGGAAATGAAGAGATCGGGCTTTTCCTCGTTGCAGAAAAATTGTTTTTATTCAAAAACAAATGGCTCTACCAGTTTCGGTCACGGTCTGCGACCCTATTTCATGAGCAAAACGCGCTGCTCGCTGACTAATACAAGAATTCTTGCGAGCAGCGCGTTTTGCTCATGAAATAGGGTCGCAGACCGTGACCCAAACTGGTAGAGCCATTTGTTTTTGAATAAAAACAATTTTTCTGCAACGAGGAAAAGCCCGATCTCTTCATTTCCACAATTTTGTTTGTTTTTTATTTTTTAAAAATTTAAAAATTTTTTAATTTACATTATATTCTAATGAATTAACATAAATAATTGATTTAAATTAATAAATATTTGCATGTCTTTACTCAGCTGAAGAGTTTTCCAACGTGCTCGTTGGCCAGGGTGCGATCATCCAGTACAAGCAGACCAGCCTTGGGTCAACTCTAGAGGACACTTTTGAGTTGATGGCCACTGACAGTCAGGTCGAGGCTATTAATCGAATTTTCCTCCGTTTCACTTCATCGTCCTCAGCCGAAGTGTCGTCAAAAAAGATGTCTGACCGTCCCGAGGTGGTCAACTTGCAAGTCAGCGAAGGTCAAAGGGTGGTGCTCACCTCAGACTACTTTTCCTACGCTCTGAGTGGTGGAGGCCGAAGGGATGTCACCTATACTTTGATGGATTCGCCTGTCTATGGAGCATTGGTGCTCATGATGGGACCTCGAAGGGAGAAGGAGCTGGCTCAGGGTGATACCTTCAGGCAGGACGACGCCAACCAGGGTAGGCTAGAGTACAGGGCGGCTCCGGAAATCGGACTTAGGGCTGTTACGGACAGGGTTCCGTTGACAATTAGTGACTACACGGGCACTAGGTACAGACCTCAACTGTTGGCCATCAGTATTGCACCAGAGGATAATCAAGTAAGGAACATTTTGAAAGTAAAAATTACATTTTTATAAAATTTTATAGTTAAAACAAGAAAGAAAAATTTATAAAAAAGTACTTTTTTTACAATTCAATAACTTCAATTAATATATAATATTTTTAATTTAGGCTCCCATTGTTTCTGTAAATGGAGACATAGTAGTTTGTGAGGGTTCAAGTGAGACTCTACCGCAAAAATTAATTTCCGTTTCTGACTCTGACTCACCAAATCAAAGCCTTGTTTTTGTTCTCGAAACTCCGCCAACCTTTGGATATTTGGAATCAAATTATAGTAAAAAACAATGATATATTTGCAATGTTTTTTTTTAATTTATTGCATTTAGAGGGAGCAATTCAGTCACCAGCGGGACAGTTCCCTTTTGACGCTTTTGAAAGCAACTCGATTAAATACGTCCAGGCATTCCACATGAATATGGAACCGCCTCGGGACGTCTTATTTTTCCACATCACAGACGGCAAGAATCGATCTCCTTCCATGCGGCTGAACATCAACATTGAGGTGAATTATCCTCCTCTTTCTCTTTCATTTTTATTACTCTGCGGCATGCTAATAAAGCACAAAAATATTCCGTCAATTATATTGTAGTTGGTGAACGACGAGATCCCTTTGATTATGGCCGAAACAATGGAGGTCGACTCAAGCATGGGCACCATAATAAAGAATTCCTCACTGTACGTGAGCGATTTTGACACGCCGCCCTCGCAACTTGTGCTGACAATCATACAAGAGCCTTATTACGGTACTAGATTTTTTGGGGGAAACCCTGGAGGTCTGACTGATTTTGTTAATAATGTAATGAAATTCACCAGGAAACATCCAAAGAAGGATTTCATCAGATAGGCCTCTACGAAATGGAGCAAAACTTGCTGCCGGTGACTCATTCAGCTACTTGGACGTTATTGAGGAGCTGCTCTTTTACAAACCTTTGCCAGACAGGTCTAGTGGGAAAACTCATGACTCTGCTGTTTTCAGCGTTAGTTAAATTTTATCACAAAATATCTCATTTGAAATAAACTTTTAATGCAAAGGTAACAGATGGTGATTTTGTGAGCCAATCGTCATTAGCTTTCAATCTAACGATGCAAAAGCCGGTTGAAAGCGCCGGGTCACAGATTTTGGAATTATCAATCGACGAAGGAGGCTTCAAGGCTTTTTCAAAGGAGATGCTATGGTTTAACGAAGAGAAAAACACGCACTTTATACTGCTGGATAATTTGAAACCAGGAATTTTTCTGCAGATTAAAGAAAACGGCAAATGGAAAAACATGCGCCAGGGTGACCATTTCTCCTTTGCCGAAATTCAGAAGGGCTTGGTCAGGTAAAAATATATACTGGCATAAAAAGTAAATAATTTGTTCATGCATTTTTTAATTTCTTTACAAAATGACAGGTTTAAGCATGAAACTGGATTCGACACAAAAGTATTCATTGTCAAAGTTAGAGTGGAACGGGCTAATATGTTCAAAGGGAATCGCATATTTTACATAAAAGTAATTGAAAACTTTGCCGCGCCGTGGCTGGACGCAAATACAGGTCTAGAGGTACCTTTCGGTTTGACAACCAAAGTAAATATCAGCCAACTGTCAGCTTTTGATTTGGACTCGGAACCCAAAGAGTTGAGATTCAAAGTAAAGTTTTCTAAGCTAAAATATTATTAGTTAATTGTATTAAACAACTTTCTCTACAGATTCTTGATGAGCCAATTAGCGGATGGTTTGAAGTAAATGGATCGGGTCGGTCGCAACAGTGGTCGCAAAGTGATCTTGAAGCAGGAAAGCTAAAATTTCATCATAGTGGGAAAAACGACATCAAAGTCGAAAACTTTGATTTTGAAGTTACGGATGGCAGAAATTTTGTAGACTATTTTTAATTTTTGTTACTGTACAAATTAATTATTTTTTCATTAAGGTGCCTGCAAAAATGAGCATACAAGTCAAAGGCAGCAAAGAGCAGGCTAGTGGCATTCCCAAACTTTTGGACGTACGGAGTTTGAAAGTTAACCAAGGAGCGCGTGTCAAAATTACGCAATTTGAGCTGCTTGTGATGGACGACTCTGCAACTTTTGCCGATCTCTCATTTGATGTCTCTCAAACTCCAGAGCATGGCAGAGTTGAAATACAACGCTCTGACGGATTTGTCGAAGAAAAAGTAAGAAATTACTTACGGAAAAGTTACACATAAAATTTAATTTTACTAATCCAGTCCGGATTGCGCTAGAATTTGCAAAAAATACCTAAGGTTTCATGTAAAAAATCGCAATCTGGATGATACTTCTGCAGAATAATTTTTGATTTGAACAAAAAAACGCGTCGAAAAAAATTGCGTACTTTTTGAGTAACAGATTATATTGATAATATGTTATTATAATCTTTTATTTTAAAGTTTTGTTTTTCAAAAGAAAGAAATTTGTATTATATGTATTTTTTATATTTCAAGCACTTCTCAATGCTGGACGTGTTGGAAGGTCGCGTTTTTTATTTCAACCAAATTGAGAAGAAAAATTCCAAGGACAAGATTCAGCTGGTTTTGATCAAAAAGGGTCAACGGATCGCTTATATCGACGAAGTGACTAAAGCAACTTTAACCGTGCCAATCGTACAAAATAATATTTCATAAATTAATTTGTTATTTAAATTTATTCTTCTACCCAGACTTTGCCAATTGAAGTCCTGGAGGGTGGTGGTCCTATTTTGCTTGTAAACTCCGGATTGGATTTCCTTGAGCGCGTCGATGACAAAGTTAGTGGATACTTGTCAATTAGGCACTTGGACGCCGTCTCAAACGACACCCCTGCCAAAAAGCTCACGTACACAGTGACAACTCCACCAAACTTTGGTCTTCTTTACACCACTGCCACATTTCCTGAAACACCTACCTCTGTTTTCACTCAAGGTAATTTGCTAATATTTTTTTTTTTTATCTATTTTTAATGCAAAAATTACAATTGTAGACGATATAAATGCAGGGAGAATTTATTATCAACTAGACAGCAATGTGGACTATTTTCAAACTAGGGATGAGTTTACCTTTGATATCACCGACGTGAGCACCAAGAGCCTAACAGGAAATATATTCCGCATCCAGTGGGCTTGGGTTAACTTCGATCAACCCAATTACAATATTTCTGAAAGTAGTGCAGAGCTCTTCATAAAAGTAAAAAAGAAAAAAAAATTAGGGCATAAAATGCAATTTGTAACAATTTAGATTGTGAAAAACGGTGGATTCATCAAAGACAGCACTTCTGTAGAGTGCACCATTGTGGACAACGCGATTGGCAGCGCCTTTAAGGATGACGTTCAACTGAAACACTCGATGGTGCAGTTTGATCATTTTGACAGGGAGGAATATTGCGTGCTGCAAATCAAGGACAACAGAGCTTACCAGGGTAAAAAAGAAGTGATCATGGAAATATTTAATCCTTCAAAAACGTTGCTTGGTAATTTTTACGTTGCTATTCATAAAATAAAATAAAAAAAATTAAAAATAAATTTTATAAAAATTCAGGCCCTTTACACAGAACTCAAATTTCAATTTACGATGAAGAAGATCGGCCACAGATTACGTTTAGGAGCAGATTGATTGCTGTTGAGGAAAACAAGGGGCCACTGAAAATTGAAGTTTTTAGAAGCGGTATTTTATAATTATTAAATGAAAGAAAATAATTAAGGTGATATTAAATTTATTAGGTGACCTAAATGTCCCAAGTTCTGTGATTTGCTGGACAAAGTCTGGCGGTGCTAAGGGAGACGCTGACACAAGCATGAACCCGGATTTTATCAGTCGCACCAAATCGCCCGGCTCCGCTGTTTTCTTCGCAAAAGGCGTCCCCAGGGCTACTTGTGAAATTGACGTAAATCTAGGACTAATTTACTCATTTAATAAAAATCTTTTATTAAATTTTTAGATCATTGATGACGCCCTGTATGAAAACGCTGAAGATTTCTACGTCTTCTTGTCTGAACCAAGCGCCAATTCAGCATTGGGAGCGATAACGAAATTAAAAGTCATCATCAGTGGCTACAATGACGTTAGCTTGATTTACTTCTCTCAAGAAGAATTCAACTTCAAGGAAAACTCTGGTTAAATTTAGAGACTTCTTGTTTCACACGTATTAAATTATTTTTATTTGAAAAATAGGAACGGTTGAGCTACCTATCACAAGAGTTGGGCCCGACTTGTCCTATAGGTCCTCCGTTTGGTGTACCACTCAAGCAGTGGATGCTCATCCTAATGAAGACTATGTGCCTATTTCTCAACAGGCAAAAGGACTTTTTGTTTATTTAAAAATTTCTTATTTCCATTTTGTTAAAAAAAGGTCGTTTTCGAGAGGGGTGAGAGTGAAAGTTGGTGCAGGCTTACTCTGGTAGACGACAGCGCTGATCCGATGCTGGAAGGCCCTGAGAGGCTGCATGTCATTCTTTCGTCTCCGGACGGTTCCTCTCTGTCTGAACCCTCAAAGGCCGTCGTTGTGATTGACGACACACTGGTCGACATTCCAACGTTTGAATTTGTAGACCCCACCTTGATAGTGGCAGAGAACGATTCCGAGGCGCTGGTGGTGATTGCTAGGCACGGAGACACGCGGACCAAGGCGAGCGTGAAGTGCTTCACCAGGCACAGATCGGCAAAGCCCAATGAAGACTTTGTTGACAGACCGAGAAGTGAAGAGTCGCGAGTTTTCTTCAACCCAGGACAAGAGCGGACAAACTGCACCGTCATACTTCTGGATGATGCAGTATTCGAGGGTGAGGAGGAATTCATCCTGGGACTTGCTGATCCTCTTTATGGCGAAGGGGAGCAAGAAAGGGTTGCTCTTATCGGCGACAGGGCCATGATCCGGGTATACGTCGCTGACAAAGAGGATACGCCGAAAATTACTTTTGAAAGAAAATTCATAGTTGTGGACGATGATGAGCACGAGTCCAAAACAGTCACCGTCAGACTGAACCGAGAAGGTGATATTTCGGCGCCTAGTACAATTTTAGTTAAAACAAGGGACGGATCGGCCAAATCTGGGTCGGATTACCATCCAATTTCGCGACGACTCACCATCCCTGCCAACTCGGACCACGCCGAAATTAACGTCACCATTTATCCATCTAACAGTGAAGACAGTCGGGAAGAGCGCTTTTATGTCACTATAAACTTTCATGGAAACGAAAGCCACGAAATAGCCATCATCGTCCGAACCAGAATCCACGAGGCCATCGTGCTACCCTCGCAACCAGTGGTGGTCTCCCTGCTCAACTACGATAACGCGTCAAGCGTTCTTGGTACCAAACCCAGCCCCGGTTACCCTTTAGTGTGCATCACCCCCTGCGAAGAAAGACACCCTCACTATCAAAGTACCAAAATTCTCTGCGAAGGCAAAAACATGACGATTCACTTTTTCTGGGAAATCGCCACGCCAAATGAGTGGCACCCTTTGCGGTACAACGCCTTCAGACGACTGTCCAAGGCTACGATATTCACAGAAGTTGAGGAAAAGGTATTGGACCCGATCCACTTCAACTCGCACTTCAACGTGCGCTGCGGCGTCCAGCCAATGAAGCTGAACGGCCGGATGGGTATCCCTATCAAGAGTCAGCACGTCACCATCGGCGCCAGCCAGGGAATCTGCAAGCGGGACGACATTTTCGAGGAAAGTCACGTTCAAAGTCACACCTTGAACGCCAATTTGTTCTACGTGAACGCGTCCGCCGAGAGAAACCCAAACACGGTGCACATCAAAATCGAAATTCCGCACTCGGATGGAATGATTCCGCTCATTTCAACGCAGCCCCTCCATAATGCTCAAACGTTGCTCACTAGCCCTTTGTACATCAGACACCACACGTGTTCCAATCTGCTTGTCGACAGTGCCTTCCTCAAACAGGCTGCACGTCCCGAACTGCAAATGCCGTGGCCCTATCAGCTGGACGTGAGTCTCCGAGGACGGAAAACGGTCGAGATGTACGGAAATTTGGATATCAGAAGCTGCCTCTGGAAATTCAACGCCTGGTTCCACATGACTGAACTTCTTGATTTCTGCCACGGAAAAGTTATTTCAGAGTTCAAGGTGAATGATATTTTGTTGTGAAATGCATGTTTATAAAAAAATGTATAATTTGGCTTAAAGGTTGCCGATGGTGGGAAAAACCAGATGACAATCGAAGTACCTCTCTTCGTGTCCTACGTCACTTCAAGCGGTGCTGAGGAATGGACATCTGTTGAGCACAGAACCGCTATGGAAGTTTCATTCCTATATTCACCCCTTGCGTGGCACAAAGGCCTTCAAACCGAAGCCAAGCACTCCGCCAAAGTTAAGGTATTGCTTTGAAAAATCGTTTTTAACCACATTTGTAATTTTAAACTATTTTCCTAGGTCACAAGAGTGTCTGCAAATGAAAACGGCCAGATTGTAATCGAGTTCACCAGTCACGCCCTCTTCCGAGGTCACTTCATCTTGACCAACCATAAGCACAAGTCCAGTCTGATGCCACCAAGAGAAATGGCCAGCTTGACTTTCAAACTGGACCTCTTGTGGAGCGAAACGACGTGGGACGGTCCAAGGCAGCAGTGGCGCGCCACGTCTGACTCCAGCAGACCAGACTACTCAGGATTGTACCACCTGATGATGGTGCCGTGCACCGTCGCTCAAAATACTCAGTATTCCATAGGGGACAAGCACAAAAAGTGCACGTCACACCAGCCAGTGCAGTTTCCACTAAACGTCAACTTCAAAGTCCCCGCTCGGCCGGTGCCTGCCAGATACTCATTGCAGACGGAATTCCAAATCACAAACAACCCAAAACAGTTTCTGGCCACTCCTGACGAGGAAACTTATGTAAGAGTAGAAAGTAATTTTTATCTAAATTTATTAAGAAATTTTTAAATTTAGGTTAATGACGAAGCCTGGCAGTTTAGTCCTGGTGAAGTTGTTTATGGAAAGGTCAGGTGGCACCCTGCCCAAGACCTGAAAGACGCTTACAGACTCGCAATTGACAGGGTTTTGCTATGCGCGGCCAAGGACGGAGCAGAGCTGCTTATCGACCCTGCAGGCGAGTTCTACGGACGGGGAACGCAGATTGGGTGTTTGCAACCATCAAAAATGTTGGCACACCGTTTCGTCCTCTTGGTATGTTTGAAAATGAAATAAAATATCAATTTTAGATTATTGTTTTCCAGGACAGGGAAAATTCTGAAATGGCGGACACAGAAGTGCAAGGAGTGTCATTTGACGCGCACTTTGCAAAAGAAGTAGCAGCCTTTGCAAAAATGGAATCTCTACCTGGCATTGACGGGTTCATGTGGAAAGTGGATCCACTTTACCGAATCAACTCCGGGCAAGAATGGTTACTTCAGGTCAGTTTATTTTTCAAATTCGTCGAAATTGATTCTAAATCAATTTTGTTCCCTTCAGGTTTTGTACAGGATTAGGACAACAAACCTCGGTCGACTGAAAAGGTCGGAGCCTCAGTGGCAGCAGGGCTATGTGGCAAAGGGACTGAAACTGATGCCTCTAGAGTCAAAAGAAACAGGATGGCCAAGCCACTACTACACAGTGGTTGCGTGTAGTGCGAGCGCCGCCTTTTCAGTTATCGTGGCGCTCATCGCGAGGACAGCATTCCGCAATTCTTACACAGTTACGACCCCAGTAGGCGTTTAAAGCTTTTTATCACTAACCGCGTAGATAAATATGAACAAAGACTGATTATTTATTTTCTATTTAATTGTGTCCACTTAGGTTTAATAAAAAGTCAATTTTTTAATAAATGCTCTAAACTATGTAAAAAATTTGCCTATTTCTTTTGAAACCTTGGGTTAGAAGTGAAGAAAATAAGCTATATTCTTTTTGAAAAAAATTGATTTTTATTAAAAAAAAAAAAAAAAAAAAAAAAACAGTTTTACCATTTTTGGTTACGGTCTGTGACCCTATTAGGATGGAGTTTGAATTAAAATAGCAGAAAATTATTGGGATTTCATTTGTATTTTTTAATTTCTTAAATTTGGCTAAGCTACAAAGATTCAAAAGGAGGTTTCAAAATACAATATATTATCCAGTGCACACCTTCCGCAACTCTTAGGGGTTTCTCTTTTCAAAATATCTCATCTTGCACAAGAACAAGTGCCAATAGATATTCTCTGCATGTAAATATGTTTGCTTGTGTCCTGTTGTATAATATTGGCATTTTCCCTCAAATTCATTTGGTATCACAATTACACTTTGTCAATAACCCTTAAGCTTTCTTGCAAGTACACTCTCGTCAGTTTGAGGTACATTTTTTATAATCGCACAACCTCTGTCCATTGATAATATTAAGATTCTTAAACTGCACTATTATTGTATTTGCAGTGATGCTGCCAAGCAATTGAAAATTTGCAATAATTCACAAGCCAGTGAATTATAAATATTACAAGTAATTAAGTTTGCGTGACTAGATTAAATGCGTTGACAAAGAGCAGAATGATAAGTACAATAACAATGTCAAAGTTTTAGAAATACTACTCTTCATTGTCTTGTGATATGTTCTTGCTACAGGAAAGAACATTCAAATTTGAAAATCTGAATAAATTGTACACTAGGGGGCAACATTTGACAGAAATATTTCCTCGGTCAAAGATTATGAGAACTGCATTACTAATTTAAATGAAGTTATAAACGTTAACTTAAAAATGCACTTTAAAGAAAAAAAAAATACTTCCTCCTACCTCACAAATCCCTCAGATATGAATTGTTAAAATCATTGTTGAGCAAAATTAAATCAATGAGACAAAAAGAGTAAAGTCACTCAGCTTGGATGATGATCCGCTCCTCTTGGTAGCCTTTTTGGTCCCAGCAGGCCATCGGACAGGTGAAGACCAGGACGTTGCCAAACTCGAGGGCATTTCGGCAACCTGGCCCCCCTTGTGTGAGGTGCAGCAAAGTCAGCAGTGGTGGAAGGAGCTGCATTTCAAAAGTGAGATCAGAGCCACACTGATTGCAGCGCAGCTTTTGCTTGGGTAGGGGCTTGAGCAGCATAGGGTCAGCACCCAACCCATACCTATAAATTTGGATAATTCAAAGTTAGCAAATTAAAATTCTTAATTTTGTCTAATAAACTTCCATAATTTACTATGGATAATTATTCGCTAACCTTAAAACTTGACCTGGACTTTCTTGTAGCCTTGAAATAAATCGATGGGCTAAAACATCACCGTGGGAGGGCAGATCCTTTTCATATTGCTCTCCCGTAGTTTCAGCTCCACCGGCAACCTCGACTTTCATTTTTCTGCCATCAAAAATCACATCACCGCCACCCTATAAATACGGTTATGAGAAAATTTCACATGCAGTTCAAATTTTAATTTCCATACTAACCAGTTCACTTTGCTGATAAGCTTGGAGAAGAGACAACTCATGTTCTGTTAATTTAGCTTTTTTCTCTTGTGGAACCTCTTCGGCTACGCTGATAAAGCTGGACAAAAATTCTGGGTGTGTGGGAGTTGGCATAGAGGGATGAGAAAACAGTTCGCTAACTTGTCTCGGCTGTGTTGGTGTGTCAATGCTGACTATCTCACTCTCGTCACCAATTTCGATTTCCGCAGAAGCAATTGCACACTTGCTGTTAAACTCGACAGCAAATGCTCCTTCAGCGCCTGCTGAATTTGCGTTGGGGTCGCTCAAATCCTCAATACTGCATGACTCGTCTGTATCTGTGTCTTCATGGGGCCTCTCTAAGGTAGAAAGAAAAGAATATGTTAAATAAAATAAATAATAGTATAAGAAAATTTCTAACGGGGCTTTTGAAAAATGACATTTCCATTTTCTTCTTCAACTGAAGGAAGATTTTCATCTTCGTCGGAGTCTGCGCCCCAGTTATCCGCATCATCACCCCAGGAAGTGCTGCCAATTGTGGTTCTGAGTGAGGTTTCAGACTCCTTGTCTGGTGAATTTTGACTCAGGGATTGTTGTCGGACGCAAAGCCAACTAATACAAGTTAAAGAAAGTGATCAAAAAATTCAGAAAACAATTAAACCTGATTTGAGGAAAATTTAATTTCTAATTAAAAAATTTATTGATGAAATATATTGAGTAAAGTAAATGGTCAAAGAAATAAAATTTATGGAAATGAAGCGATCGGGCTTTTTCTGCAACGAGGAAAAGCCCGATCGCTTCATTTCCATGATCATCTCCTCGAGTGTCAACTTCTTCAAACAAATAAAATTTAGTTTTTAATTTATAATTTAATTAAGATGGTAATTAATAATGTACCTTTCAGGTCGATTCCAACAGGGAGGCTGAATGCAAGCAAACAGGTAAAGCGTCCTGTGGAACTTGGAGCCCTCAACAGGAGCGTAGATTTGAACGACAAGAGCCAAGTTTGAGCCACACAGTTTGCACTTGGTGAGGGGTAGTTCTTTAGTTGGGTGCCAGTCCTGTAAAAATCGGTTAAATTTATTATGATGATCAAAGGGATTGAAGTTTATTATTGTCCTTCCTTGTTAATCATAATCTTTTGAGGAAGTATTTGACTTGCCTGCTAACTTTTTGATTACATCATAAAAATAATATGCGTACGTTGTTTACAAAAAGCACTCATTACACATACTAATAATGAACAAAAACGATCACACTCACAGGCGTTCCTCCGATTTTATTCGTCGTGTAGTCGACAAAGGGCCTGTTTTTCTCAGTCACCCTTTCGTCCTCAAAGCCCAGAAGGACGTAAGGCTCGAACTGCCTCGCCATGCTGCCGATGGGTCCGATTTCGGGTCGAATTGGATTATAATTCACCAAACCATGGCTTGTATATGGGCCGAGAGATGCTGTTCTTTTTCAGCTGGAAGCTGCCTAGCCTAGCTGGTTTCGCATGAGCCGCGCGCAGCCGCTCTGCGCAGAAAGTTGCTTGCATTAATGCGACCCGCGAGTTCTGTATATATGGTTCTGTACTTGTCCTGTACTGCGCCTTCTGCGACCATGGGCAGCTTATAATCTATAACTTTCTGTCAATATAATATAATAAAAAAGGCAGTTTTTCCCAGGAAGCCAAACGTGTTCAAGATTCAAGAGTGCTAGGGACTGGCCGCCGTAATATATTTTAAATTTGATTTCTGAAAATCTGAAGTAAACAGCAAAATCCATTGTTTTATGATAAATAACTGTAAAATATAAAAATGTATTTTTCTTGCTCATGTAATAAGGTCACAAACCGTGACCGAAACTGGTAGAGCCATTCGTTTTTGAGTCAAAACAACTTTTTCAACGAGCGAAAAGCCCGATTCCTTCATTTCCAATAATACAATTAAATGTCATTTTGATTTTTTTTTTCTTTTGGACGGTATATAATACTTTTAGTGCGTATATAAATTTTTTAATGAAAGGAGATTAAATAAATAAATCATTCTCTGCTTTGAAACAAATTTAATATATATTTGTCTATGGGTTCGGTTTTTTACATTTAATGATGTGGATCCTGCCCCTGCAAACACATTTAGTAGAATATGTGTATTGTACTTTTTTCGACGTAATTATATATTATGTAGCGTGATGTAGCGATATTTAATTTTAAACAAAAAATATTCATGCACTTAATTACAAGAAAATAATGTTGAGGTAAAAAGACTCAATTTAAAAATTTTTGTCACACGATAAAATTAAAAGTTCCAAAAGTTATGTAGCCTTGTAAAGCTGGCCTGATGCTTCTAAAAAACTCAAAAATAATCTTTCATTTTTTTTTATAGCATCAACGTTCAACAAATATGAATACATAAACCAATACAATTGAATTGACTCAGAGGCAGAAAACACAAAACATAAATTTTTTTTGACAACAGCAATAGTGTAGTTTAATATTTCTGAATCTGAAATAATAACACCTCCCTTATTTGATTGTAAGTGTTTTGTTTACGGGGACGTAACTTCCTATAGGACAGGTCGGACATGTTCGAGGGCCCAGCAGGGGGTCGAGGGCCCACCAAAGCCACTTATTTGGGCAACCCACAACGCACACGTGACTAGGCGCTGCCTTCTTTACAGGGGCGTCCGAGCCCCCCCTTCCCCCTGATTATGAAGTTACGTCCCTGAGTGTGTATAATAATACATAATTTCAAATCAAACATTTTGTTATATCTGCAGACATGTCTCCTGCAATACCATAAATCAATTCAGTTTTTTTCAATTATCACAAACATTCATTCATTCTATATCTATATATAGATTTAAGTTTGATCCCATCTCAAAATGTGATCGTGGGCATATATTTATTGATTTTTTTTTTCTAAAATATTTTATCTTTTTTTGCACCCAAAATATACAATTTTGATCAGCAATATAAGGAGGTTTTAAGTTAATCCTGCGTTCGTAAGAAGTCAAGGTACAATTTTTTAATTTAGCAATCCGTGCATTTTTTACAAGAATGAAAATTAATATAAATGCTGAAAAGATCTGTATTCTTAGTCAGTAAAAATATACAAGAATTTCCTCATTGTCAGTATTCTTGAAGATATTTTTCAAATTTTGCATACATTACAAATCTTTGTGATATGCGGCTTCACTTGCAACTAAATCATACAAAATATGATCTTGGTTTTGATAAATATTTAACCATTTTTTTTTTTTAATATGGACAGACAATAGACACTATATATTTAACTCTATTCACATTCTCCCAGTTTTTTTTTTATAAATAATACTTTTGAAGAGTAACCAAATTAAATGCTTCAATTGCACAATATATATTGTGAGCTACAACATCAAACAGACATTGTGCCTCTCTCAGCCAAAAACCATTAATGATTGACTTTTGAAATCAGATTCTTCTCCCTAAAGCATTTGAAAATAGATCAAGATATTAACCTTAAGTACTGCAACCCATCAAAACGCAAAATAAAAATGGAATGTTAGATAGTGATTAAAGCTGAAACATTAACTAACTTTGTTTGACTCCAATAAATTCATTTTTTTTAAAACAGGTAAAATCACTGTGTCTTGTATGTTGTGTGTGTGTGTGTGTTGTAAAATATTGTCTCGATCTCTCTCTATACAAAAAATTTCCCTAAATTTACAGTGATGGCTACTCATCCTGATTGTTGTTTGCTTTGTGTATTCTAAAAAAAAAATAAATAAATAAAAACGCCACCTAATTAATTAAGTCGCACTGAGAGAATATTATTTTTTCATCTTGCAGTTATACAAAAATGAACTAGAAATCACAATAAATTTTCACTATGAGGTAACAAATATGCTACATATATTAAAAATAACATTATTTTAAATTGATTGAACAGCATTGTTTTTTGTGTGCAAAATTCCGTGATTTTGAAAAATGTTGATTTTACTGATATTATATAATTGACAGCTTCTTTTGGGCTAAAATGAGGACTTTTGGCAGAAGTTCTACAAGTTTTGTTATAAGAAAAAGTAAATATTTTTATCAGTATGCTTAGAACTTCTGCAGCAGTTGTGTGTAAATCGGTCCTTATAAAAGGGAAGCCTCACGATCAGGAATGTTGTTCAGCCCAGCTAGATTCCAGTAGTAAGAAGGTGGTCCAGGGGTGAAGCAATACTTGCTCGACAACGGTTTACCATTTTCGACGTAGTACATAAGATAAAAGTTGCACATCTCGTCATTAAAAGTCATTCTAAAAATAAAAATTTTGAAATACAAATAGGCAAAGTCCAACCAATTAAAATTATATATTATAATTACCCGATTTTAGTGTAATCATCTCTGTCACTGACCATGGTGCAACGAGCAGCCTTTAAGGACAATTAAAGTAATATAAAAAGTCATAGTACAAATGTTAGAATATTTACCAAAGTGTCACCCTTTTGAATTGCGACTTCGTTTTCAATTGGATAGAACATTTGGGGTGTCATTGGATTTCTTTTGCCCAAAAGTGTCCACTGGTTGATACCGTTTTTATCTACGCTAACCTTATAGCCTGCTACAACCTTGCCTAAATTTTAAAATAAAGACAAATTTAATTTACCGTTTTTTTGTTTATTAAAAAAAATACCAAGCTTGTGAGTGTGGGTTCGGTAGGCAAAGGGATGGATAACTTTATCTTCCTCGATTTGACAGGACGTTTCCATATGTTCTGTTGCATGCGGAGCTATGGAACCACTAGTACCAAGCAAATAAACACCTGCAAGTTTTGTTAGCCTGGAGGAATATAATTGAAGAAATCAACTCGAGAAGAAAATTATGTTTTAAAATACTAACGGCCTTTCTGTAAAGTGCAACAGGAGTCCTGAGGAGTCCGGTTGGCCAACTACAAAATGAAAATTTATATATTTCAAGTTATATTTTTTCCTCTGAACTATACCTTTCTCAGGGCTCAAGTGATAATGAACTTGCAGCACCAGATAGTCAATATTAGAATTTTGACCAACTTGGAAACCAACTTCATCTGGCAGCTCAAGTTTTGGAGCGTCCAACGCCCAAGCATATATAATCTTTTAACAGAAAGTTTAATTTTCTTGTTGATAAAGAATTATACATATATGTGCCATTTTTTACCTGGGTGCCTGAACCGCAAGGACTCGCACTTGGCATATCTCCAGTAGTGGCCCTTGACATTTCACCGCAGTTCCTGCAATATCAAAACGTTGAGACAAACTTGAACCACAAAATTTCACAAAAAAATATGCAGGCAATGAAAAAAATCTCTTACCAAACTGGCAGCTTACTTCCAGGTGACGAACACCCAAAGAGGAGCATGTGGTGTGCTGTGTGCATTGTTGCGTTTGGTTCAAAGCCAACTAAAATTTATAATTAAACATATTTCATATTCAGATTTTTTTTTTTAATTATTTGGGCAAGCTTATTCTCACCTATAAAATAGCTCTTTTGGTGATCAATCTTAATTGGAGTGCACAAATACAGCTCTTCCTATAAACATATAATTTTTAAATCATTAATATTTATGAAACACATTTCCTTATTATGTTTTTTTGTTGGTTGAGAGATTTTATAAATTACATATAAAGCACACTTCGCTGAAAGGAAGTATCATAAAGTGCCATGCTTTGTCTGATAATTTTTCAGTTTTATTAAATTACAATTTTTTATAAATTAAAAAGTAAAAACTATCCTAATACATAGATATATTTTATGGATTACCAATTAATTAATAAATTACAAAAATTTTAATTAATATAATTAATGTGAAAATGAAATTGTTGAAATAAAACGCATTAAAAAAATTCTCCTTATTTATGTTTCCAAAATTATTGCGCCTGATATGAAAATTAAATTAGGTCTATAGCTCAAAGCTATGTTCATAAACAGCAATTGAATGTCCTACGTTTAAACAGTAGAATATTATTATAAATTTTCCTTCTATTATTATTATTATTGCAACTCTTTTGTCTTATGGTGTGATGTTACAAATTACAAATAGTGCACTCAGACATAATTCACCCATTTACAATTGTTACAAAACTTTTTAAATTGGAAAACAGAAGGATTGTATAAATACAATCAAATTATTATCGCCTTACTTAGGGCCCAAAGAAAGCAGATTTTGTTTAAATGTCAAATAGGCAAAGGACACAGAATTGATTTTTTGAGAAGTCCTGCCAATGTGAGGAAAATGACAAATCGGCTACTCACACTAGCTGGTTTGACGTTTGGCATCGCGATCGAGTACTTTTCAACCTTGTAGGCCCCACTGGACCCTGTGCTTAAGGCCCAAAGGGCGAGCCAAGGCAACAGGCCTCTCCAGCCGACCATGTTGGATCGATGCCTGCTTGCTCACCACTGACGTCAGCAACTAGCTGCGGCCTACGTGCAAGCCTCTGGAGAAACGGCGCATGCCTGTAGACCCATTCAACTTCAAATTGCAGTTCCAGCACATATTTACATATATAAATAGAATATTCTGTAAAAAAAATATAAATATTACACATAGATTACTCAATTGCAACCAAATTTAAAAAAAAAATAAATAAATAATGAAAGAAAAAAAAATAAAAATTAGCTAACAAAATTTTAGCCAAATCCCCTCATAACGCCAAAAAATCTGAATTCCCCCAAATACAACCTCACTATTCCAAAAATACTTTCTTTATTTTTTTCTCTTTCCATTTCAGTTTTCAGCTATGTCAGTCATCATCTTTTGTGGACAAAGGAAAATGTGCCAGCAAAAAGTTATGGTTATTTTTTATACTAAGTTGGCACAGAAAAAAATTAATCCATCAGTGCCTCCTGCACAACCAATTCAGGTTAAGACTAGTAACAAGAATTTTTCTTGGCCTTTTACCCTTAAATAAACCTCGCGGATCCAGGTGTCCGTGTATATAAGGCCATTGGTCATTTTAATAATATAAAATTTCACCGAGGACGAAGTCTATTTTCTGCACTTCCTTAATTATTTTTGTTTGATTCTTCAGGTAAACGGTGGATTTCACAACGATACAACCCATCAAAGATTTTTTTATTTGTATTGACTGAGAAGAATAAAAAATAATCGTAATACTAATTTAAAGCGTTCCGTGTCTTTTTTTCCGAAAAGCTAGCAAATTTGCTTGAATTGCCTGCATTATTTTTGGAAGGACGCGCTAAGTTCACAATTATCCACCAACGAGGGCTAAAAGTGAATTCCAGCCCATGTACTTTGTTTGAAATTTGAAACACGATATAACCAAAATAATTTGTGTGTAAATGACTTTTATTTGTGAGGGAAGTTACTCTAAAAAAATCTGTAGAAAGCCCTGATTTTTTTATACCAAGAATTTTTCATGCTGCCTAAAAGCTTAAAAATTCTCGAAAACGACAAGGAAAGTGAAGGCTTTTGTACTGGAATGGACACACCAATTCTATGACTTAAACAAATTTTACCATTTGAATAATGCCATATATCTTAACTTATTTTAAAGTGTTTATTGCTCCTGCAAACTAATGCTTAGCGAAGTAAAGAAATTTTGAAATTGAAAAATTCCTTGACATATTGGATTTTACCCTATGAACACTTTGCCTGTGCCAATTCATGTTGAGCCCTACTTAAAGAAGATTGAGGCTAGTTTAAAACATTTCGTGTGCATAAATTTTTTCAAGTTTTACAGTCGATAAGTTTGTGACTTCTTCGTCAACATTCGTAAATATATCTTATTTGTTCCTTTCCTCTACACGCACGTACTACTTTGCAAATAGGACGAAACGCAGTGAGTCGGCGATAATTTGACAAATAGAGCAGTAAATAATAATAACTCAATAATTTAATAATAGGAATTATTTTTTGCAGCTCTAATTTCTGAAGGGCTTGTTAAAGAAACTAGTAATATAATTATTACAGAAAAAAATGAAAAAAGTTTATTTCCCTTAAACTGGCTGCATAGGAACAAAAGCAGAAAAAATATGGCGGTCGCATCTCACACAATGTGGAATTTACCGGCCATCATCACAAGTCAAATCACATCCAATTGATGCATTAATTAATTTGATCAAATTTTTGTTTCTTTCGTTTTATTATTTGTATCGTTAAATTCTTATTCTCTTTGGCGCTGAATGTTTCTCGGATAATGTAACATGGAGCTAAGACCACAGCCCTTTGAAGGCCTGCCTTATTGCTCGCTTGGTTGAGTGGCTGTTTCCAATGCCAATTGCAATCAGAAGAAAAATGTAGGCCATCAGCAGGACAAGCAATTTGTGCTTTCCAACCCAAGACATGGTTGAGCTCATTGCTGATTCCGTGCTAAAATATAATATTTCAGTTTATTAAATTCACTTGGCGACTGAGTCAGTCAGTAGAATGATACTGAGCTTTAGCCAGAAATTTTTAGGGCAATAAACCCTACGATTATTATTATTATTTTTTAAGTAAATTTGCCTTGAAGTTTATTGCAACAAGATGTTTCAATTTTTCACAAGATCCATCTCGAGTGTTGGCATTCAGTTTATAGAAAATTTTGAAACAAAATAGAGAGTAAAATGCATATAACTGAGCGAATGAGGAGAAACATTAAATACAAGACAAACTTACCAATTAAAGGAGGTTGGCTTGCAATAGACCAGTAGATAACAAACTCTAACATGGTCACTGTTTCTCACCAGCACGTATTTGGCAGGAATGGCTCCGGCCATGCTATCTCTGCTTGTTGATCTATGTTTCACCTCCTCAGGCGAGTCACCTAATTTGATAGATTTGAATGTTTTGTTTTTAAATAGTAAAATTAACCTAACCTTGATGACACTTGACATCTGGATGGTTGAGTATTTGGCAAAGGGCAACACAACTTATTTGGTTTCCTAAAGTGCTGTCACTCCAAGACGAGCCAAATTTACTATAGGGCATGCTGACGCCAAGTTCACTGGATAAATAGATACCAGCACCAAATAAGGCGGTCTAAGGAAGATTTTTTTAGGATAAAAATGTTTCGAAATAGCAAATGCAAACATTACTTTGTTCAAATGTTGTTGGAGACCGTATTTGAGTATTGAATGAAAATTTTCCAGTCTACTACCGTGATATGCACTCAAAGTGCCAAGCTTGTTCTGCCACTGATTCCAACGTTCTTCGTTTGATCTGCTCATCACCTTGAAGATCAAATTAGGCTCTTGTACAGCCATTTTTGAAGGAGCCTGACAAAGAACTTCCTTGTGCTGAAAATTGATTCCAAATATAAATTTTTCCATTATATTTATAACACATGGATTTAATTAACATTTTGTTTGGGGACTGTGGTAAGCTTTGGCTCCTGATTCTGGAGAACCCATAGTAGAATCTTGACGTTCTCTGTTCTTAGGTATGTCCCTTTCTTCAACTGCTCGACTAAACTTTGAAAGGGTGGAGTTTCGTCGATAACAAGCCTCTAGAAATTGATTTTGAATTAAAGCACAATCAAAATTGTAGAAAAAAAAATAATTTTTAATACCAGGCCGTCAATATCTTTCTCTGTGTCTCTGATAAATTGACTAGGGAAAGGTCGAAGACATGAGTCAAACTTGTAGCTACTAGCAGCAGCAACAAACATGCTCCATTTGAAATCTGCAGCAGTGAGATCAGCTAGCAGAATTTCCAGTAGTTCTCTGCATCTGCCAGCGTGGCAATCAGAGGGATTTGCTTTAAGGTTCTTGCAAGAAGTTGTCGACAGGGTTAGATTGTCAGATCCGTGGACTTTCAGCGAGGGTTGATTTTGTTGACCCAGATTGGGCTCGTTGGCACCTTCGTTTTGATCAATGTCCATCGCTTCTTTGAAAAAATATGCAAGCAAAATGATATTTTATATCAGTAAACGGTAAACGCATATGGGCGTTTAAATTAAAAAAAGTTGTTATCAAATAATGAATTATTTAAGTTAAGAACATACTGGAAAGTACATATGATGCTACAAAATTTATTATTTAATGATTAAAATCTTGTATAAAACTGCCAAGAATATGGAGCCGCAGCTGCCAGCTCGTAACTTTGAAATTCTGTTGTGGAGTAATGTACATACACACTGAAAGTACATATATGCAAAATGCAAGCCATAATTTTAATTTTGATTTTGAGTACATAATTGAGTTGCAATTCTGGCTGCCACATTTTATTTAAGAATTAAGAACGTCCATGGCAAAATTTTCGTTAAGAATAAGGTTTCAACTTGAAAGCATTAAATTATTGCATACATACCTTATTTCGATTTACAAATTATCAATTATTTATTGGGAAAAAAAATAAGAGGTAAAGAGATTGTATTAATGTAAACAGATAAAAATTTCAAAACTTAATTTATTTTGGCGACAGAGGCGACTCTGGCAGGAACAGGCAGGAACCAATGCAGGAACTAACAAAATGATGCCCGATGCCCCACGCCCCCACCAGCTAATTCCACTACTTCTTACCCACAGCTCTGTGTAATGTCACTAGATGTCGTTAAAAATGTCATCAATCATCGATCATGAACATTTTACGCTGAGCGCTTGCTTAGGAACTATGGGATGTGAATAAGGGCGGGGCTTAGAAACCAGCTCCCATTCGATTACATTCTACATTGTACCAGCTTAACATTGTGGGGATAGGGAGGCTCCGCCTTTGTTCGTATCCCATGATTCTACAATTCTACGCTTCATTTGTGATCTAAACATGCGGCACACTGGCACAGCCGGCACATTGTCATGAGGAGGTCTAGGAGGATTTTATAGATTTTGCTCTCAGGTCAACAAAATTTAATGCATAATTGTGTTACATTTTTCTAACCTCCGAATCCAATTTGACTTCATATTTTTATGCAATTTTTTTCTTCGGCTGTGTGAAGGTATGCGATAGCACATATCTTGCATAAGGATAAACTTTTGAATTTTTGTTTTGATCTTGTGCACAGACAGGCGACAGGCAAAGCAAGCTTAAACATGCTTCCGTTTTGGAGTACAGTGGCTGAGAAATTGGAGACGTTAACCAGCAAACCAGATAAATTTTTAACGTAGCTGAATAATTTTAATATGAATTTTTTAGATGACATTTTCAAATTTACAGAACGCAGCCAAAAATCGCTGATGAAATCAGAGGTCTTGCAAAGGAAATTTATGATTCAGCCTTAGGGTCAGAGAGGGATAATAGAACAAAGCAGGCCCTTCCAGAGCTTATTGTCGAACGGTTTGATGATGAGCAAGTCTGGCAGCAACTGGAGTTGCAAAACGTGGATGTGTATGACAACGTCATGTGCAAAGTGTCTCAACTGATGGCCAAAGCGTCTACTGCAAAAGTTTTGAAGAAATTTAAGACACTTGAAAATGTTGAAGCACCAGAAAATATGAATGAAGAGGCAGGAGCAGAAGAATTTGAAGCAAAGCAGACTGGCACAGAGATTATAAAGCAATCAAAGCCTAAGAAACCCTCAGTTGTTGATGATAAGTTTTTTAAACTACATGAAATGGAAGAATTCTTACTCAATGAAGAAAAAGATGATGGTGGAATGCCCAAAGAAGATGGTCATGGCATGGTAAATTATTTTGCCAATGACACCGGAAGCAACGACGAGGAAGAGGTATGCTTATATTTATAATACAAATAGTTGAATAATTTTACCCTTAACAGCTATATTAAATCAGAGTTGATTATTTTTTTTTTTAGACAGATGATGCTTTTTACAAAGACTTTTTTGATGCTCCAGAAGAGGAAAATCTAGACAAGATTGAAAGAGCTAGTGTTGGCAGTGAAGAGGATTTGGAAGAAGAGGAAAGTTTGGATGAGGGAAGTGAAAACAAAACAGGTGGAAGTGACGGAGAAATGGGCAGTGATGAGGGTGGGATCGAAGATGAAGGAGAAAGCCCCAGCGAAGATGAGGCTGCAGAAGTTGTCATTCCAAACCAAACTAAAAGAAATAAGAATCTATTGTACAAACAATTCCCTCTTGATTGGAAAGAATTTTTATAAATAGTTTGATTTGCAGAAAATCTGATGATGAAGAGAGTGAGGAATGGGAGGACAATGGCCCTAAATCAAATTTTGAATTGAGACAGAAAAGGCTGGAAAAGAAAATTGATCAAATTCATGACGACGCTTTGGGAGAGAAACCCTGGCAATTACTTGGAGAAATTTCAGCTAGTACAAGACCTCAGAATTCTCTTCTCGAAGAAGTTCTTCAATTTGACAGGACTCAAAGACCGGGTATAAAATATATTGAGATGATTTTACAGAAAAATGATTCTACAACTCTCTTCAGCGCCTGTTATCACTGAGGAAACAACCATGAAATTAGAAGATATAATCAGACAGAGAATAAAGGACAAGGCTTGGGATAACGTAGAAAGAAAAATCAAACCTGTAGAAGAGCCAACTGAATACAAAAAGAGGTTAAACCTAGATCAGGCAAAGAGCAAACTCAGCTTGGCGGAAATTTACGAACAAGTCAGTTAATGAATATTATTTAATGAAACGCATATTAATATTTACTAACCTTTTAATTGCTAGGATTATTTGAAACAAAAACTCCAAGCAAATAGAGATCCAGGAGAAGAGGAGGGAGATGAAAAAGAAACATCAGAGCAAACGGAAATTAAATCCATGATGCACAACTTATTCATCAAATTGGACGCACTTTCAAACTATCATTACACTCCAAGACCTGTAAGCGTGCCTTTTTTCAAATTTTATAATGATAATAACAAAACTATTAATATTTTCAAGGCTGCTCCTGATGTCAAAGTTGTATGTAATCTTCCTGCAATCACAGTTGAAGAAGTTGCACCAGCGGCAACCAGTGATGCTGCTCTGTTAGCTCCAGAAGAAATTAAAGGTATTGTATAATTGTAAAATAATGAGTAAATCGCACAGAAAATTTTTGGTAATATTTTATAGGCAAAGCAAAGGGAATTCCACTGGGCAAGGAAGAGAGAAATGCCACGGATAAGAAGAGGGAGAGACGGAAGAAGAAAGCCAAGCAACGAGCCAAGAAGAAACTTCAGGATAGCAAAGAAACTCTTGGTGGGGGTGCTAAAGCCGCTGTCACAAAGGCACTTAAAGAGGGAAGAGTGACAAAGGTGAATTAAAATTATTATTTTCTTTATTACATACTTAACATGGATTATATCAAATTTTATTGCAGTTGGATGTGACTGACAAAGAGGCAGTGAAATCATCTAAGGCGTTCTTCACTAAGCTGCAAGATGAAGTTTCGAACACAATTAATTTGAAAAAGCAAGAGATAAAAAAAAGGAAAGGAGAAGAGTCTAGATTGTCGGCTAAGAAGCTGAAACTATAATATTTCGTAATATTTCATAAAATAAAGTTTCTTTAAATATTTGTTTTCTTTATTTCCGACAAGATCAAGATATTGAACTACAAGACACAAATCACACCCTAGTTGAATTTGCAATATTAAGAGGTAGTGTAATACCATGGTAATATAATTATGCAATATTAAGGTATGGGTAAAATAAATCTAGATGGTCTTGTCTCTTGCGTTGTTTTTAAGCTGCTGGTCTGATAGAGATAGACCTTTGTGTTTCTAAAAAAAAAAGTGGAATGATATGGCAGACGATAAGAATAAATTTTATAGAGAAATTTTCGCATAATGTATTATTAATAATTATATTATTTTCTTATTAAACGCGTTTGAGAAATGATACTAATGAACCCAAAAACGATTTTAGCGCTGCGAATAAAGGAGCGTGGCCCGAAACAGCGATTGGCTAGAAGGTATGTACACTGGCCAATGATAGGATTGCACCCGTCTCGTAGTTCTCGTACATCGCGAGACCTACCCAATATGGCCGCTCAAATGCTGTAAACAGTCAATAAGCACGTATAAATTAACCCCAGTGGCATTGCAAATTTGGACTTTTGGCGGTGCAACCTTCCAGGTCGGAAAGTGCCCCTCGCCGTATGAGTTTGGAGACCCATGTCTGCAGTAACTACACAGTGTGTGCCAGGTAAATCACTCTTTTTTGACACCTTCTTCAAAGCTTTCGTGTTTTACACTATTTATAATGTAGATAAACATCGCGACTCCCTCGAAATTACCCCCCCCGCGCAATGGTCCAACTAAAAAATTTGAAAATCGGCGTCAATAATCACGATGGAAACATACAATTCCTCAATCGAGAGCTTCCTGTTTCCCACAGGCTGGAAGTTTTTGCACCAAGGAGCGAGAGGGGTGTGAAAATAAAGTTCGTCATTTATGAAAGGAAAGTCATTGAAGTTCAATAATTTATGCATAAAATAATGGTGTAAAAATAAATTTCCCAACGAATGAGCTGCCTCTAGAAATTCTGGTGTTAAGATAGATACATAATAGGTACATACATATTATGTAGTAGAGTCGGGAGTCAGTCAAATAATATGCACTTAACAAAGTTCAAATCAATTGATAATGTCGATTTATCATACTATTTATTCTTCTCGGTCAATACAAAATTCCTATTCGAAAAAAAAGAGAAGAAAGGGTTTACAACTAGCAGATGTCTGCTAAAACGCCCGACATCGAAAGGGACGGCACACACTATCAAAAATTAGAACAATATCACAACCTTTGTTTGAAGGAGTTGAAACTCGAGGAGTGGATCATGGAAAATTTTTCTTGCTCATGAAATAGGGTCGCAGACCGTAACCGAAACTGGTAGAGCCGTTTTGTTTTTGAATAAAAACAATTTTTTGCAACGAGGACAAGCCTGATTTTCTTCATTTCCAACATCACAAACACTCTAAAATCTCATATAATTTATGATATGAAAGAAGAGCTTTTTATTAAAATAAAATCTTTTGAAAATTGCGAAAATTAGAAAATAAAAATATATCATAATCAGAATTAATTCAGTACAAAATTTTTAATTTTCAACACTACCGGAATCATTATTATTATTATTGTTTATTCTTCATAAATCAAGTCATGAAAAGAAACACTTGAGAGTTTACTCTCAAGTGTTAGCAATTGCTGCCACAAATGCTGCTTGCAGAGATAGGGAAAATTGCTGGTTGGGCAGTCTGGCAGTCTTTGAGGGTCAGTGGTAGGACATATATTCCAAGACTTAAGTTACATATACCCTGAAGGAAAAAGCGCCTTACGCCAACACATTTTGGTCCAGAGGTGGCTCAATAGGTTGCCGGTTCTTGTTGAACTCTCAGCACATGTCTCTCGATGATGCGGGCCCATATAAAAAACTAAATTAAATTAATGGTAATATTAATTAATTAACAGTACATAATAGTTTTATCTGTCCATATTATTTGTTCAAGAGTAAATTTAATTTAAATTAAAGGGATTTAAAACCCCGTGTTTGAGAAGTAAAGTGAAATTAAGTTCAATGACGCAAATGAATATTTTTTGTGCAAAATTTTGTGACTGTTTTGGCATTATCATTATTATTGTATTTTAGCGACTTTTTATAATTATTATATTTTTCTACAGTTGATCTATAATAATGAAAAAAATATTTTCTGAATCTAAATCTACCATTAAACTACTTGAGTAAAATAAATAATCATAGCAAATATCACATTTAATCAAATTCCTTTTGCCAAGACTGTTTGCCCGAAAAAAATTTAGTACGACTAAGATCTGTAAAATCAAAACAGCTTGCGTGGTTCTTAAAACAAGTGGGAGGGTGAGATTTGTAAAAAGAAGTACTTGCACCTAAATTTCTGAAATTTCTTTACTACAAATAGAAGCCAGGATAGAAATGGGAATAATTTGTCTAAATCTGGTGAGAAGCTAAATTAAAGAAGTATGTTGAAAGGAAACAAATAATAGTGATTTATAAAATTAGTGGCTAAAATTTGATCAACCAAATTTATCTTGTTTTATCATTAATATTATTATTATTGTGTGGATTTTCTCAGATTAATCAAATTTTTAATTTCTAGAAAAGTTATTTACTGCTCATTAAAACCCAAAATAACTTTTCATCAGCTGGACGTAGTGGATGACAGACCCAAGTGAGAATAATTATTTGCCGCTGGAATATTTATGTATGGTTGATGGGAAAATACTGGCAAGCGTGTGCAAGTGTACGTTGGATACCCTGAGTGCGGCTGGTCTGTTTAATTGATATTCTAATTAGCTTGTTGGTGAAACACTCGTGGGCGCGTGTTTGCTTGTAATTAATGGCTTATTTTATTTATTTATGGTCTAAGTCCAACAGGATCTCCGCTGCACCGTGCAAAGTGATCGTAAAAATAATAATGCCTCTCTCACTTGGTCCATTGAGTGAAAGGAAGGGCTGCCTGCTCAGGGCCACCCGCTCTTGTATGTGCACAAAGTCAGATAGATCCGCGTGGAAGTAACTCGCACCACTGATGGGGAAAAATGCCTCTGAAAAATATATGCTATTTTCCTTTTATTAATCATTCAGTGCTAGATTTGTCTTGCGGAAACGCGATATTTCAAGGAGAAACAGATTAAAGGAGACTAAAGAGAGAGATAAAAATGAAATTGAAAGGAAAAATATCTCATTATATCTGATTAATATTATTCTGCTTCAAAATCAGGCACAATTAGTTTTGTGCTAACATCTTTTTTTATTAATATTACATCACTTATTTCATTTCTTTTATAATTTTCCACATCTTTCCAGACTCATTACTTGCTTTCGAGATTCTCTCATTATTGTGATTCCTAACTTCATTATTTATAGCAGTTACAACGCGCCTCTTTAATTTCTTACAATCCATTGTAATTTTTTCCTTCAATTGCAAGTCACTCTTTTTTCAACCTTTCACCCAATTTCCCTAAGCCGCGTCTTAAGCCCCATGGTAGCTTGAGACAATTTAATTTTGCCAGCCTGGTTAACTCTATTAATAACCTTTCTCATTGGAAAACTGTTCTCAAAGTATGACATTAGCCTTTCCATTAAAATACCACATTTAAGATTTGCGTCACCTTCAACAAAGAGAAAATCTTTTTTAAGTTTCATTTACAAGTAAGCCATACAAGTTATTCCAGTTCTCCTCCGAATGTTGTCTAGCAAACTTAAATGTATCTCTTTTCTGAATTTAATTTAAGTTCCATTCACAGTAGACTGAATCATGGTCGGAAAACGGGCATTTCAAAATTACACTCTGACCTCATAAAGGTCTTTTTCACAAACCGTGCGAAAGTTACAACGATTTGCGGCATTCCGTTGCAAAAATGTTGCCATTACTCTGTACGTCGGTTGTCAGAGGGCAGAAAACACACATAATATCTGGCGATGTGCATACGTTTCTATACATACTTTTGTCGTCTTTTATATTGTGCATTGTTTTCCTGCAGCTTTATGTTATTCAAGTAATGTTTGGAACACAATGCCATGTATTTATACAAGAGCTGCTTTTTCAGAAACAATGGGTGATAAGAAAGCAGCAAACGCTCTCCTTGGCTCACTCGCTCCTCTTTACTATTACTTCTTCTCTCGCAACCAAGGAGAAAGAGAGATACACACAAAAAAACACACACGTGGAAGTGGGTGGTCCTCAAAATACAAAAGTGGTGGTGCCCTACTGCAGGGGTCAAGTGTCATCATCTCGGGAATGGTTTTTTTGAATTCATTCCTCACAGACTCTGCACTCATCCCGTTTGCTTTCTGAGCTTGTGTAATTACACCAGCCATTACAAAGACAAAAAACTGATAAATATCTTGATTGAGAACAGCAAAATAGTTGGAAATGAAGAGATCGGGCTTTTCCTCGTTGCAGAAAATTTGTTTTTTATTCAAAAACAAATGGCTCTACCAGTTTTGGTCACTGTCTGCGACCCTATTTCGTGAGCAAACGCGCTACTCGCTGACTAATACAAGAATAGTATTAGTATAGTATTATAATAGCATTAGAAAAGAAATGTTTTTGAATAAAAAACAATTTTTCTGCAACGAGGAAAAGCCCGATCTCTTCATTTCCATGATCATCTCCTCGAGTGTCAATTTCTTCAAACGAAAAAGCAAAACAGTTTTCTCTTTTTTTCGATTGCCTTATTCTTTAGAAAATTTAATCTGCATTTTAAGTTGAATTTCGCATAATTTTCATGCAACCTTTCAGCTGAAATAATTTTCATGGCCACAACTCACAAAGAAACAATTTAATTATTATTCTTGCTTTCTGATGCATTCAAATTTAAATCGCAATTCAATTTGAATTTGAAACCATAGAAAACCTTTGAAACAAAAATCAATTTTGAATTTGAAAATGTTAGTGCTGGTTCAATTCATTTTATTTTTACTCCAACAATCAAACATCAAAATATCAATTTTTAAAAATTGCGACAACTTGCAATAAATACAATAAAATGTATTCATTAGAATAATCAATAGTCAAGTCTAGACATCTTTA